CCAGTAAGATGGATTGTTTTGGTTTGAGGGGCAAGGAGGTGAGGAAAGTGGGCGGGCAAATTGTGGGCGGGAAACTGTAAAGTGTGGGAGGGGGGGAAAAGGATGAAAGGCAGAACGATGGATTCTGGATGGTCAGGGCGACCGGCTAACCACTTGACAGGAAGAGTGGGAGAAGGATGATGAGATGATGAGATGAACAGATTTAAGGTAGGAGAAAGGAAAAAAGGCTGGTAGACCGAGCAGGGATGTGGAAGAACCTAATAGTGGTGGTAGTAAGAGTAGTAAATAGCAGATAAGTAAACGGATAATAGATAGATAGATATTGATGAAGGGGGGGGAGGGAAAGGCAAGTAAGTAGAGTGTTAAGACAAGCCGAGTCAAATCAAAGCCATATCCTTTTTTTTTGGATGTTAACCCCGAGGTGGCCCAGGGTTTAATAAGGAAGAAATTTAAGCAGCAAGCAATGGAAGGATGGATGCGTTCGTGGAGAATGGAGAGAGAAAGAAAATAATAATAATATTAAGAGGAATAGGAAAAAGAAAGGCTGACTGACCTTCAACCAGGCCGGGCGCGGGGTTTCCGACGGGGTCGTTCTTTGCGGCCAAACAGAGGAAACAAGATGAACCAAAGATACAGTCCAAATACAAGTTCCGTCAAGTCGGTCTGCTTGTCACGACTCGCTAGCGGATGGATGCGTGCTTGGGGGGAAAGTGTGTGTTTCCACCAGCATGGATAGTCCAGAATTATTCACATCTCAATGAACCAGGATCATTTTATTCCCTTTTTCATTTTTTTTCTACTCATACAAAATTAAATAAATTATTTTTATTTCCTTTTTCTGAATGTTTTATTTACTCACTCTATGTACAATGCACCTTCCACCCCTACCCATATCTAATACTATCTCTACCTACCCCTAGACAAGGCAGGCAGCGAAACTATTGTAATAGTGTTTGAACAACCCTCCGGGACCGGTGGATGGAATTGGAATCCAGGAATGCACGGGTGGACAAACTGCCGGAAGAAATACTAAACCATGACGATTTGAATGGTTGATATCCAGGCCAGCAGCAACCGAACCATGGCTGGTCAATCATCCTCACAGCGTTTGGATATCAATGATCGGCTGGACTTAGCTTCAGGGCGGTATTAGTTTGGTTTTGTTTTGTTTTTCCTCTTGAAAACTGGTCCATGCAGGAAATATCAACGTCTACTCCGTACAAACGAGGATTATTACTACTTTTTTTTATCTTCCTTGTACTCCGTACTAGTGAAAACTAAACTAGGCACAACTAGTAGACACTGGAATAATACAATGCCAGCAAACCGCCAATAATCTCTCACTTAGAAATGACAAACAACAACTATCAACAAAATCATTCAACGACAACAAGACTTACGGGGGGGAAAGGAGGATTGTCATTACTATTATGATAATCACAATTAGCTAAAACTCCATTTGTGTGGTGGGTGGCCCGACGACTACTACTACCGGCCCCTTCGGTAGGGTAAAACAAACCTCACCATCGCTTGACTTAACAGCAGCACAAGTTGAAGGTGCAGCGGAAGAGCCGGTTGGACGGGGACCCAATGGGGATGATCATCGTCTGGCGGTCATCCCCATCCAGTGCAACAGTCGGAGGTGGTACTTGCTCCTGAATCATGTCGACGGTATGGGATTGGATCCATCCACCCACCCGTCATTTGGTCTGTCCTTCCAGCTGGCTGAAGAAGTCCTGCTTTACCCACTTCACGTCTGGTTCTCATCTACTCCCGGATATACTACGGGATGATCCCTCATCGGCGTAAAAATAGAAAATTAAAACATAAATTAAGGATAAACAGGGCGACCTTCACCTTGAAGAAAAATCAGGGACAGCTGGGCATCCTGATTGATAAGCCAGGCTGTTTATTAGTTACAAGGGGACATCTGCATACACAGTATGTCCCATTACTACTTACTTCTTCACGATCTTGCAATTCTGTAGATACCATCACGAGGCAAGGTGGTGAACGAACCCTCATTGGCTGTGAGGGTTCCAACCCACGGGATCAGTCCGGGTGCTCAGATCGCAGTCCTTGTAGGGTCGGAAATGGGGACTTACAATCAAAACGAGGTGTGAAAGACAAATAAGAAAAAAAGACACAACTCTGAGGGCGTCGTATTTTTCCTCCTGGCCTGTTGCCGACGAGCGATCGATAATGGTGTTGATGATGATGCTGATGCTGATGCTGATGCTGATTAAGAAAGAGTCAACAGCGAATAACTACTAAGTGAAGCTGTGAGACGACCACCGAAACATGCCAGAGGACAGCCAAGAGGCCAACCATCGACCACACATACTACACACATACTCACACACGCTCTTCCCACACAACTCACTCATCTGCCCGCTGGGGAGAAGAAACGAACGCCCGATCTCGATGCAACCGATGACCCCTACCTGCGCCTCTTGATCCTCCATGCACTTGAGAACGGCCACATGTCCTGGCAGGATAGCCGACAAATGCGCTTGACTGGCGGAGTAGCTGCAGCAGCGCCGGTCTAGCAGACGACTAGTATCTGATTAGAGCAAAACATCGTGGTTGCTGGAATCCGAGATTGACTCCTGCCTAGTCGACTATCCCAGAGCTAACTCGGGCGAGTGGGAGCCGGTCTCAACACCAGCCCGCCTTAGCGCTTGCAGCTGCATTTACGGCCGACGAACCTGCCCTTGTCTCCACGCACGCGCCCTGCTCGATCCAACACCGCTGACGGTGAAAAAGCGACAAGTCATTCCCGGGTAGCTTGTCGAGTTTATTTCAATTTAATTTATCGTCCATCCGCGCACTGCTACCAGCCGTCTTGCATGCAGAAGCTCCAAGTGCGGAGTCGGAATCTGCGACAAGACACGGGATTCCGCCGGTGCCTCACTGCTCCCAGTGCGCGCACGCTCTGGGTTTTTTTTTTTTCCCTCATTTCCCCGGCGTAACTCTTTACCTTTTTCCGTGGCTTCGCTGTCTCTCGTTGCTTCCTAAGCGCTTAGACTTTCACGGCCCCAGATCAAGACATATCTGTAAGTCTGGATGGTTGATGAGGGTGGTGGTGGTGATGGTGGTGTTGGCAAAGTCTTATTTCTCCCTCACGTATCGCTGCTTACCTCCGACCACAACGTGTCTGTCGGTCTGTACCGATGGACATTCTAAATTATCTACTATCTATTAACCACTGACCTCTCTTAACCCCCGAGCCATCAATCACACGGTCAAAATTCCATCTCATCCTCCCCAATCCCATCACAGTTTGACCGCCGCACGGCTTTGTAGGGCCTCCAACCACCACACCGGGACCGCAAGAAGCAACGGGCGAGCATCAACGTTGACTGCACTGGTATCTGACAAGGGGATCAGACCACCGTAAGATGGTAAGACCTCTGGTGCCATTCTGTCGGTGTGACTAGCCATCCAGTCAGCCTTCCGGGTTATGACCATGGCCATGGACAAGGATCGTAATCAACCGCGTCTCCTACCGCATGGGGAGAATGTTGCCAAAACCGCATCGAATGGCCCGAGATGGCAGGCTACCAATGACTCTGGTGCCAGGAAGATTCTCGATCCAACTAAGAGGGGGCTTGCATATGCTACCTCGGAAGCCGCTCCGAAATCCATCCATCGGCCGTCCGCCCTCAGGATCCCTGATCGCTTGCTTATTCCCCTCCCTCCCTCTCTAACAAAGGTGTGTCTGTGTGTGCGCTCCCTGGCCGGGGATACATGGTACATGGTACATATCCTACTAGTTCTGAGGTGGTGGATGGTGGGTGATGCTTTGTCAGGTGCCTCACTGCCGGTAGAGTCACTACAGTAAGTATGGGGGCCCTTGTAGCCTACCAGGTCCGCGACGCCTGGTTGCCTCGTCCGCTGTACGTACTTTGTCACGGCACTTGACACATCACGGAGCACAGAGTACCTGAATCTCACCTTTCTTTGTTTCATTCTATTACTTTTTCTTTTTCTCTCTCCCTCACTTTTTCTTTTTCTCTTCTTTCCCTCCCCTCCCGCCATTCCTGCATGATGATATCGTTCCGATTCGTCCCAACAACAATCTAGGCTAAGGTATCCGTCGTCAGTTACCGAGGACTTGTCACAACTGTAGGAAAAGAGACCTGCACTTGCATTTCCCAAACAAACAAATGCAGCATAAATCAACGAAAAAGCAACTCGATAAATAAATCAAAATAAGGACATCTGGCAGCTGCGGATGTGGAGACTCAGAACTCGCAGGGGATCTGGCCATTCTACTCTTGACGGTTGACGACTCTCACTGCAGACAGAATGGAAGAGGATAATAACCTGGCAGCGACCTTATTACTCAAGACATGCATCTACCTCGGTGTATTCTCGGTTCATTGCAAAGGCAAAACATCTTTACACACCGGTAACTGACACCTATCCTAGATCCCTGAAGGCACATTAAAAGAGTTACAGTGGGAAAAACCCCTGCAACTGCCTGTCGAACGGATGTACTCTGCACATATTACGCACACCCACTCGAATAAGCAAGATAGATAGATAGTTTTGTAGCTAGTCAGGTAGCTACTACTATCTCCATAGCATCGCTATCTCTCTCTTCTACATGCCTACCTAGGTTCGTTGAGAGAGCTCCGTAAGCAAGCCTAAAAAGTCCGGCCAGACCCTCCCGTCATTCATTCCACGAATAAGATGACCAGAGAAGCAAACACACAGCCGACCACGACCAGACAAGACAGACAAAACACATCCACAACACACAATCACACCGACCCAACTACGTACTACTACTACTTACTAGTTTAACTACCGTCCTGATCGGCATTTTACCCTCCCCCGCGCCAATTCTCATTCCCTTCCGTCCCGATCGATAAGTAAACAAGAAAAGAAAGCTCCAGTTCCCTTTGTGCAACTTCAACAATCAAGTTCTTAGACCCTATTGTTCCCACTTTTTAATCCCGCATACTCCAATCCAGACCCTGGTTCATCATTCTCACTTACATATCTACTACTGTACCTACAACATACTAAGTAGAATCCTTTCTACCTGGATGATAGTCCTTTGCGCTGTGTACTTACGCCGACAAATCTCGATTGGGTACCTATACCCTGTCCTTCTCTCCCCGGTTTCACTTTATGTTAGGTACCTACCTCTGCCTCACTTTCTGCTGCGTCCCTTAGGTACCTAATACTTTTCGAGTACCCGACATTTGCGCCCCGTGGGATGTAAGTCCAAAAGTACATTCTTACTACCCCCGTACCTATCGGCTAAACAGAATACAATTGGGGTATGCAGACTGCCAACTTTCCTGACTGCCTGTCAGCTGCACGATGTAGAGCATAACCTGGTAGGTAAGT